TATGGAAAGACACCCTCAGATGTCTGCTTTCGAATGGTGAACACCACATGACTTCATCTCGCTTCATTTCATTTTCGCTTTATTCAGAAAATAGCCACTGCTCGTTCAATTTCAAATGGATAGTAACACGAAAAACATCGGTTTTGCGTTCGGAAAAGAGAATAAGGTTTTCTTGGTTTTCTCTCTTTAATTGGATTTTTTTTTCTCCAGTTTTATCTTACTTTTCCGGTATTTTTTATCTTGACCTTTCTATTTCCATAGATTTGATTAGTAAAGATGTATTAATCGTCCGAATTTTATTCCTCTCATAGTACATGTCTGATCGCAATAAGATTGGCATTACTACGATTATTAGGAGAGTTTAACTTTTTTAAGCTATGAAGTCTCTCCTTTTGTTTATACTACTTTTATTCTTCGATGAATGTCATAAATTTTCTTTCTTTGTTTTTAGTTTTAGCGGTAGTGAAATTCGTCACCGTGATGATGATATACCATTAGCTCATATTGCTATATGTACAGAAGGTACTGGATGGGCTGACGCTGATACTATTCCGTTGATGGTTGCCAGTACCATTGTGGGAAATTGGGATAGGTAAGTAGTAGACGTTTATTTTCTAGATGAAATAAAAAATGTTTCTTTATTTTTTATCATAGATCGATGGCTGGTGCGGGCAATGTGGCTACAAAACTTGGACAATATTCACAAAAATATAATTTATGTCATTCCTATCAAGCATTTAACACATGTTATACGGATACGGGTCTATGGGGCGCTTATATTGTTACAGACAGATTTAGAGTTGATGATATGATGGCTGCGCTACAAGATGAATGGTAAGAAATAATATTGATCAGCTCTTATCATAACGATAAAATTTACGTAGTTAAAATTTTCCTATTTGATAGCCTGTTCTTTTTTTTTGAATTTGGCCTCGTTCATATCGATATAATTATATTTCAATAATCGTAATTTGTATTTGTTTATCTAAGGTGTCGTATTGCAACGAACGCCACAGAAATTGAAGTGAATCGTGCAAAAAATTTATTGAAAACAAATATGTTATTAATGTTGGATGGTAGTACACCAATTTGTGAAGATATTGGAAGGTGAATAAAATTGTAACGCTTGAATAACACTATATTCTCATAAATACTGATTTTTTTCTACTTTAGACAACTTCTTTGTTATGGCAGAAGGTTACCGTTACACGAATTAGATGCTCGTATTAATGTAAGTTACACATGTATCGTTCTTTTTTCGAGTGTTGGATGAACTGTTTACCTTGTTAAATTCAAAAACTTGTTAATAAGTAGAATGCTGAGATTAATTATTTAAGATTAATAATATATACATTTGAAAAAAAATAGTTGCACACAGTTTTTTCCTTATGAAGATATACTTTTACAAAAATAATCTCGTATTCTGATAGCGATCGAAATTCTCTATCACTCGGTATATAAATATCTGGGCTCGCACTTATTTGCTGAAAAATATTTCGAGTACTATGATGAGACCCTCATCCTGAGATTTCCACAAATTCCATTTTTTCTTCTTTTTTCATTCGTTTTTTAAAGTTATTATGAATAAGAAGACACCTTTTTACAAAAGTAATTACATATTCTGATAGCGCTTGAAATTCTCTATCATCCTGTACTTTGTCTGCCTTAAAGTGCATTTGTTTGCCGATAAATTCTTCAAATATTTTCAATATACTCTCACCATCATATACAGCAAGACATTATTGGTTATCTAGTAGCCACATAAGATACATGGTTTATTATCTACCTGTCAAATCTGATATTAATACTATTAAGAGTATGTGGTCTTTGGATAAATCACTATGTACAGAGATATCATCCTAATTTCCAATAAAACTTGGAAAATATTTCGTTAAACTATAGAATGCAATACCTAGAAGTGTGACACGTGAGTACATTGAAAATATTTGAAGAATTTATCGGCAAACAAATGCACTTTAAGGCAGATAAAGTACAGGATGATAGAGAATTTCAAGCGCTATCAGAATATGTAATTACTTTTGTAAAAAGGTATCTTCTTATTCATAATAACTTTAAAAAACGAATGAAAAAGGAAGAAAAAATGGAATTTGTGGGAATCTCAGGATGAGGGTCTCGTCATGGTACTCGAAATATTTTTCAGCAAATAAGTGCGAGCCCAGACATTTATATACAGAGTGATAGAGAATTTCGACCGCTATCAGAATACGAGATTATTTTTGTAAAAGTATATCTTCATAAGGAAAAAACTGTGTGCAACTATTTTTTTCCAGGCGTATATATATAAGGAAGAAACTCTCTTGTTAGAGCACTGAACATTCTATAAACTGAAGCTGATTTTGACACTTCAGTTATGTATTTCTATTCTATATAGAGAGTTTTGAATATTATTTATTCTTTTTTCTTTACTAGGCAGTGGATGCTAAAACTGTTCAAGAAGCAATGAAAACCTATGTTTACAATCGTTGTCCTGCTATAGCTGCTGTCGGTAAGTGCACGTGACATTCAGAGTAATAGATCGGTTACTGTTAGATTTTGTTTATATGTATTATGTTGTATTAGAACTTTCTATCACGAAAACTGTCTTAGTATGTACGAGTTTCATGCTCCATCATAGAGACTACTAATAAGTAACTATTTGATTCATATATGAGACTAAAGCCTAGTAAATTTAGTTTTCTCGATTTCTTCGAAGCCTATTCATTTTATTTATTTTCTTGTATATTTTAGGTCCAACCGAAGCGTTAAAAGACTACAATCGTACACGAAGTAGAATGTACACAATTATCCATTAGGAAAATTCAATAAACAAAACTTCTCACTATATCCAGTCTAGTATAGTTTTTTTTTAGAACTATCCAGTTTTGTTTTTCTCTCTTACTATTTCGGTACTTTTTTAACCGTTTATTTAAATAAGATCAATAACTGTATGTCGTCGTTCTTGTCGTTTTTTCTATAACTTATATTGTTAAATAAAAATGCATAAAAAATAAAATTAATGGATTAGAGTAGTTTTTATGACTTAGTAGAAAACGATTTGTTCTCTGTACTCCAGATTTATGTAAAAAATCACATTTTTTTGCTTTTTCCTCGAATATTTGAAGAATGATCGTTCGAAAAACGATTCAAGATATTTTATTTTTTTATCTTAGATACAGCTACTTCTATTCTTATTTAAAGATAAAAAGTTATTTAAAAATCATACAGAATAGAACATATTGGAAGAAATATTTGTTGAGCACAAGATATGTTTTAATAATTACTCAAACTAACTCAAACTCAATAAATTTATGACATTTTGTAAACTGTGTCATACAAATGACTAATTTTTCTATATAAGGCGCTCGATGCTAGTGTTAAAGTACTTAAGAAATGTCTAACAACGACTGGCAAGTTTTGAACGTCGTCAAAACATTCGATAAAGTACGGCAATGGTACAACAACATCAAGTATTGAAATTTCGTACGTCTAATTTAAGAACTCCTACTAAATATTCGTATCGATGTAGTTAATATCGGAAATATCCATTGTGTCAGTATGAAGTAAGTCATATTATTTAAAATTTATGAAATAAGTGATAAAACTCATTGTGAACTTTTACGTAAAGGGCGAGGAAAAGGTAGATCAAAAAAGATTCGATCTGCTTTGATGTTATAAAGTGGTTGTTGTTCATTGTATGCATTATATATCAAAACATATCTTGTTTTTTGGTGCTCATTTGACATCTAACTAATTTGGTGCTCAAAGTAAATACTGTTCGAACATATTTATAAACAGAGATGGTTAGGTGATTAAAAAATACCCAGATCGATCGTCTCTTCCTGCTAAGAGTAACACTTCTTAAATAGGGATGACTCTTTATCATAACTGTTACCAGTAATCAGGGTCGCAAATAACGGGAGGGTATAGGAAAATACGCACTCCTCAGATAATTGAAAAAGCTGTTGTTATTCTATCAATTATTCCTCGCACAAAATTTTTTTTATCAATTTTACACTACCTCAGAGAGAAAATTTGTTTTACATCCCTCTAATGTTTGACTGCTATTGACGGTCCTGTCAGTAACAAGTAACAACATTGTTACTTATCACCAATCATTCAGTAACGAAGAAACAAAGTTATTATTAGAAAATAAATACTTATCGTTCCTGAAGCGTTTTTGAAATTTTACATTAAATTTTTAACTTCATTAAGTGTCGTATAACTCTTCTCAAGTTGCTTGATCTTTTCCCCACATCTAGTAGAAGTATTTGTTTGAAATAAGCACGGATCCCAAAACTGAAAAAAAACAGTATCTTTTTTTCTTATTTGCATCGATTTGACAAACTTCCTAAAAATCTAAAATATTTTCAGACCAGATATCAACCATTTATGACAAATGGAGGAAACGAGCAGCAGTTTTTGACAGGAAAAAGAACAAAACATCCCTAGTAATAAACCAGTTCTATTCTTAAATATGTGTAAAAGTCGCCTTTTTTTGTATTGATTTAAATTTAAACGACGTACATTTATGAAGGCAATGAGTATTTGTTCACGTCAATATGATATGTAGTTCTAATTTATGTCTATTGATGTCCATCTTTTTATCATCATCATACTCTATTCAACAAAACACTGTCAATGGACTCGATAGGATAATTAATATTGTTTTGCCTTCGATATTAGTGTGTGTTTTCTCACTATTGTTAGACATTCTTACTATTTTGTGAAAATATCTTATGAAACAAACAATAGTCAGAAAGAACAATTGACAGTTCAAGTCTTATCCATATCTTGCTTACACATGATTTTTATCATTTTATTGTGTTTTTAATTAGTAAATATTGAACACTATTAAAATGATTAAGGAAATTTTATTTTTCCAACCATTTTCCTTTACCATCTGTTTGTCTGGCAATGTTTAATTAATATTAACTAAAAATTGACATTGACGATTTAAATATTTATTTTAATATCGACCACATTAAATTTTGTGCGTATGTAAGTGAGTACCCGCATAACGCTAGTTATTATTCGGTCAACATCACCATTTAATATTACACTTACTCTTTTATTTCAGTTTTCTCACGCATTATCCTAGCTAAGGTATATACATTACACACGCAGTTCTTTTTGCTAATAACAATGGTTCTTGAGAGATTTTGTTAAGTGCTTTCTAAAGGTCTCTGTACATGTCCATTCGATAACCAATTAGTTTTAGTTATTTCCTAGCTCACGACGTTTTTGCTACAAAAAATTAATCGTTAGAAGTCCAAGCTACACTAAACGGAATCAGATATTTTTATCTTTGTCTTAATTTTAGAGAAAGATAAAGATTTTTGAAAATCTAACAAAGCATCTTCCGAGTATTTGAGCTTGAAACCTCTGCGAAAAATAACTAGAAGAAAACTTCAAAAAATACACAACTCGGATCTTAAATTGAACTAGAAGACAAACCTGAAAAATGGTAATATCTACTTTTTGACTAATATTCTTGCAATAACGTCGGGAAAAAATGAAATTTTGAAGCTTCAATGTTTACTATAATATATTCTGTGAAAATTTTGACAAGATCCCGTGTTTTGTGGCGAAAATAGATATCTCACAGGAGAATCCATACAGGATATTTTCCACTAGGCAGACGGATTTTTATCATCGGAAACGTTCGATTTTAACTAAGAATGACCCTGCCAGATGATAGTTTTTCACAGAAAAAAGTATCTCAGAAAATGTTCGAGAACTGCAGCATTCGTTGTACCTTTTCACGCTCATTCGAATGCGTTCTTTGTTTTGACTGCTTGAGGATATTCTAGTCTATTCTTAGTACATTTTCACGATGTAATTCGCCGACAAAGATAGTCCGATCGAATATACGGCTTTTTTAATATCTCAATCGCGAGATATTAAACATTTTGTTCTCTCGTATATGTAGTTAGCGTATGTGCTATGACACTATAGTATGCTATAGTTCTTTATTCTCCTAACATACGGAAGGATGAAATGAAAATTGTAAGGACCATAGTATAACATAGAGATACTCGTTTTGATAGTGAAAGTTTATTTAACGTAACTTTTCTTCTCATTATTATTAAGTAATAAAAAAGAAGATAATTATTATTATTATTATTATCCTTAGAAAAATTTCATGTCATTAACTAAGCAACATCATACAGGTCCCATAAAGTCAACGTTTAAAAAAGATTCGGTTAAACGGGCTCAAAGTAAATACAAACGTCATGAGACGTTAATTAAAAAGGTGAATTTCCTTTAATGTGACAGGGGTCAATGTGACAGAGGTCAATGAGGGGAGGATTTTCTTGAGCTCCCTAAAGTGAATAGATTTTAATTTGCTCTTTCTTTTTTTTCAAAATTTCTGACTCGTCTTGACCAGAATAGAAGATATTGCAAAGTTTTTGCCCGAGTTCATCTTACGACAAGTGAAACGTTTTCTAATAGGCTCTCTGGTTATGAAACATTTGAACATTCATATCACCAAATCGAACAGTTTTAAAAACTTCTTTGGTCAAAACCAATTGCAGATTCGTCTTCTCCATAGTCGATTATCTTGTACGCGATAACTTTTAGATTGAAAGAAGATGATTATTCACCAGAAAAAAATTTACTTATGGTCTTACTCAAAATTTTTCGAAAAAATCACTGTATCGCAGAAGGTAAAATGAGGTAAAATGTTCCAGAGGTAAAATGAGGGTATTATTAAAAGATGCGAACATCCACGAATACCTCCAAATTTAAGTCTGAGTTATGTTGAACGTTTTATAATTTCGCTTTTTAAGCATATATATATTCAATGAACATCCACGAACACTCAAAAGAAACGGTAAGAATATCCAAAAATGTGTGCCAAATCCATCTCCATGTTGTTCTGAACCTACTGGCACCATTTTCAAGCCGATTTTTGTTCGAGTTGAAAATGGTATCAGTAGGCGCAGAATATCCTGCAGATTAATTTGGCATACTGCTTTGGGTATTCTTACCGTTTTTTTTGGGTGTTCGTGGGTGTTTACGAATATCACCTTTATTTTGCTTTGAAAACGATTCTTGATGGTAAAAATTTGCATTTATTCCCAAAATTCTACTAATTTTGAGTTATGTTGAACTTATTGTCGCGATTTCATCATAATCCCAAACTTTTAGCCCAATTATTTATATATAGTCTTGTAGCTCTTTCCATGGGCTATTCGTTACACTAGAAATAGTTGGTGGTTAAAGCTCGGCGAAAAAAGCAAAAGAAGAGCAAGAATACAGATTAAAGTACTGTTAAGCTTATGCCGGAGATTTTACAATCATCCCAATTAGTCGAATCTATTATTTATACATATTCTTGTAGCTCTCGTCACGGGTCACTCATTACACTAGGAATGGTTTGTGAGTAAAGCTTGAATGGTAGAAAAAAAAGCGAAATACCGTGACCGATAGCCTTAAAAAGTTAGATCCGAAGTAGTTTTTTGATAAAAAGTAACGGTTATTTTTACTTTCAAGCATTCCTTCGCACATATTCTTGATCAGCCCGTTCAGTCGGATTTTCGGGCAGCTGCATTTCGGGTCTAGCGGCGAGAGAAGATGTAAGGAACTATGTTTCTCCATCGACCAGTCGCCTCTTCCTTGTTCACAGTACTCATCTTCTATCTCGCTGTCTGCTTTTATCTTTTTTCTTAGTCAGGTAATGTCTAACTGGCCATTGGACATTTATGCTCGTAGTAAGTGTGCAGTTTGGGATTTTAGATTTAAACTTGAAAAAAGACTCATTTTCTCACGAAAAATATCACCGTGTTCCAATGAATAAACAGAAGAAAGT